TTTTCACTAAAGAGTGTTGTGATAAAAAGCCCTGGGTAAAAACCTAAAGGATTATTAAAGGACTAAAGGATAATTAATTCATGGTCCTGATTATAAGTCTTCTGTTACTCTTAATTCAGTGGTAGTAATTGCAATGTCTACCTGGTCACTGTCATCAAGGACTCAGACAGGATATGTCTGGTCATGTATGACTGTTATTGTTATGATAGGGATTAAGGTCCAATAACATAGACATTACATGTATTTCACTTATTTCAATTTCAGTGAATGTTATTCAGAAGCTTTTGTTTTACTTGCACAATCGGCTTTCAATTAGAATTATGCCTTATTCAGTCTTTACTTCAGTCGAGACTTATACTCCCTGAGCCGATTTTTCTAAGAGCTCTAGATAAGGAGTTGATTGCCCAGGTGTTGGCCACAAAAACCAACTACTGCAGTGTTCTATATATATTGTCTACACTGGGTTATGGTATATTTTTCTGGTAACAGAAACTTTCATTTAGAAAATGAGGATTTAGGCATTAAGCGGTATTGACTTAACATGGGGATACATCCACTATGGACTTATCATAGGGATGTCATCATATTCCAAAGCCACCATAGATACCCGCAGAGATATTTGTTTGGGTAAAGTTTCTATCACCCTGTACCTTTTATACATGCCACATTACCTTTATTGAAGCATTAGACAGTGTTTTATTACTGAAACACCAAAACATTGGGCCATGCAGATTTTTACTATTGCAGACATTTGCACCCTTTGGGTTCCATCTTATTGTCATTTTTCAAATTTTATGTTCTCTTGCTCATCTAAAGTTCTTCATTTTTATCAAAATCAATTGATATCATACTTTGAATGCAGTTATATGGTAAAAAGTAGAAAATATATATTATTAAAAGTTGTTTATATAAGGCAACCTTGTGTGACCCCATTTTAGAGGCAAAAGCCCCTGTTAGAATTGATTGATCTCCGAAAGGTTAACTTTTACCCCTCTCCAATATAGATGTACAGTAATTACATTGTGGACATGCATTAACATCAACATTTCTTCAGACATACTTCTACATGTTCTACGGTCATTTCACTGAATTAAAACTCATGATGGTTGCAATTGTAAAAATGTTCAATGATTGAATGCGACCATTGCAACCATTGCAGATTTCAATGAGTAATGGTTGTAGATGGTTGCATTTAAAAATGCAATGATCACATGTTAATGGTTGCTTAACCATTGCAAATTGTGAAATTCTAATGGTTACAGCCGATGGTTGCACAATGATTGCATGTCATTTTGCAATGGTTTTTCCTTTGATCTAAATGGTTGAAGCAATCATTAATCAATGATTGCTTGCGATGGTTTGTTTTCGGAATTTCAAGGTCGGATTTTTTATAAGGGCAAGGAAGACAAGGATTACTTTTCATTCTGGTAGTAATACATGGACATGGTCCAAATCTTGATACGCTTCACCATAGCCCAAAAAAGGGAAATTGGGAGCTTCATCTCAATGTATTTCAATGCATGATCCCCTTTTTCATGAGATATGACCACCAAAAGTATGCAAGATGGGGCACAGTACACAATCACTGCTGAAGTTTTGCTTCCTTGAAGACTGTAGCCAAATCCTCAGATGTAGATGCAATTGATGCTAATTTGTAAGAAGGATCATATATTGGAAATATTACAGTTGGCATTTCAATACCATTTGTTAAACAGTTAAGGAGTAGAGTACATTCGAATTGGCTTGAATGTTTCATTCGTCAATGAGGGCTATTGGAAAAGACATCAGCTCATGTTTCATGATTTCATTGATGCCCACAGGTCTGTGGTTAGCTTCATATGCAGTGATAAGATTCTGCAAAACATTCCTGTCCGCCTTAACAACTTTCTGCTCGTTTATATGGGGATTAGACATATAGTTTAAAAAATGTTGGTGCTTGCTCAGTAGATCAAGAAAAGTTATGTCTTTCATTTGACCCTGTTGGTATCAACCTCTAAGACACAAAGACATCCAGTTGTTGTTGGCCAAACTGTCGAGCCTGTTGATTGTTTCTGTGAGTACATCTTTTGTACATATACTTTGGAGATTAAGTAATGTATCTTCTGAAAACATGCCAAACTTCAGGAGCATGTCACATATTTTATCTTCTTCCATAGATTCTTGTTTTGATTTGCAAATTACCAACCCCCCTCCCTATGGAATCTCAAAACGCAAGTCCAAACATCATTCTTGTTTGGACTCCCCATGTGTGACCTAAGATTATACCCCGGTGCCCATCTGTTCAATGCAGATATTGTCTTTGTGTTATGCCTACAATTTTCCACCCTTCTAACCAATAGCATACTGGCATAGGGGTCAATCAACTTGGTTGATTGAATTTGAAGAGCCTTTCACCACATAGTCTCAATGCAAGAATCCTCGCTCAACTGCAGCTGCAGGTACTAGTAGTTAGTGCATTTCCTCTAAGTTTACTGTGCCCCACCTTCCATAATTTTGGTGATCATGAAATAAGGGATCATGCATTGAAATGCATTGAGATGAAGCTCCTAATTTCCCTTTCTTTGGGCTTGGAGGGAGTATAGCAAGATTTGGACCAGGTCCATGTATCAACACCAGAATGAAGTTAGCCTTGTCTTCCCTGTTCAGCTCTATGAAGGATTTTAATCCTTATTCAGATCTAATGTTGAGGTTAATGTCATTTTGGATCTTTTTTTGAATTTTCATAGAGGGTTCTATTGAATACTTCAATTTTAGACCTAGTATATGAAGCATAATCAATTATTAGACCTGTCATTGGTTCAAATCTGCAGAAAAACTAGTCAGGATATATCATATATTAAACCTCCGAGCTATGAAACAGTAGTAGGTACCAATAAACTCTAAGCCTGGAAATAATAAGGGTATTCTAATAGTGTACCTTAATACTGTCTGTTTAGACCTTTATTTGTAATGATTTTCAATGATTAAGCCTCTTAGATGGTTTAAATAAACAGAGAGTCAGCTCGGAATATGTCATACATCAAACTGATCTATGAAATCATAGCTTGTTCAAGTTGATTATTTTGGTCAATCTTGCATATTTTGCTTTAATATTTCAGAATTATTTACTTCATTTAATGTGAATTTTGTTGTGAACATTTAATGATAATCTGCTTATAAAGTAAAAAACTACAGCCTTTTACTACATATGCCCCATGTGGCCACCACTCCAGCCAACGAAGCTGTTGATGACTCTCCTACACATACCAACATTGATTGCAAAGCTTCTGATGAAGCTATCCACTTAAAATTGAAGAACATCTGAGAATTTGTCTGACACTAGTTTTACTTCTTTAGATAGATTTTAGTCACGCCATGGACAATTGAACAACTTCCTTCGCCAGATTTGATTGTGCATGTAGAGAAGAAGTGGCCACATTGGACATATGTTGTAAAGTGCTGTAGTTTTTGACTCCACAGGCAGATTATCATGAAACTTTCACAACAAAATTCATATTGAATGAACTGAATAATTCTGAAGTTTGGAGGCAGAATATGCAGGATTGACAAAGTAAATTAACTTTTCTTCGGTCCTGTTTTTGGACACCCTGTACCAGTAGAATGATACTAGGCTAATGGTATACTTGAATTTAATCGATTGCAGACCTATGATTTAAGAATGAATTTTCAATGATAACACCTAAGATTGTTCAAACCACCAGAAAGTCAAGCCAGGATATATCATACATTATTTGTTTAAGCTAGAAAACTAATATTGGTACAAATATGTTCATAAATAAGAAATTATAGGGGTCTTCCAAGGGTATACCTATAACTTATCAATTTAAGACATCATATTTCATGAATTTTTAATATTTGAACAAGCTAGAAAGCTTAAATCTTCCTAAAACTTAGCAAAAATAAGTTTTATATTTTATATTTATTCTAAAATGCCAAATATATGAACACAGAGGGATAAATGTTAAAGCAATAGGGGTCAGTTATAGTCACACATAAAATCAGTCCCAGCTAAAATGTCATTTTTTCTTAAATTCACTAATTTTTTTCAAGGCAATTATCAAAGGAATTACTCTGATTCTTGCAGGATTAGTAGACCAGGTATTAAGCCTTTTACATGGATTTTTTTAGCATCCATCATTGTCTAATAAAAAAGTTATGACACGAAAAGTAAAAAATGGGTCATAAATTTGCCCCCTGGGGTACATACTTTTTGCTTTTATTCAAATTTCTTAAGTGTAATCCGTATCATTCATACTTTAAATGTTTATTTTATACAATGTCCATGTATTTCACTTACAAAAACCATAAAATCAAAGTTATTTTAGGTTGACGAATTTTTTCCCCCTGATAGGGGTGAATTTTGGGGGTAGGGGGACTAACATGGTATTTTAAGGGTTAAATAATCATATTTCAGCTTGCCAACATGGTTTTTTGGATTCAGCATAAAAAGTTACATAAGAAACACTTGTCAGAACACTTTTAACACTAAACGCCTACCACATTTCCTCTAGATGAAAATGCACCTTGTCTATTTGGAGATAATGAATAAATGAAGTGAAATTAATAAGATAGTAACAAAAAGGAAATTCGTCAATGTTAAATGCCATTTCATATACATTAGAGGGCAGGGAGGCAATTGTCGGACAAATGACTACTGTACTTCTACTTAATTTGGAGCTACTTATTTTGGTGGCTACTAATTTGGCAGGCTTGCAATATTGCAATGCAATAATGGTATTAATTTACATTGTCCTAAAATTACTGGGGAATTTGGCTTCTTAATTTGGTGGACTTAACAATTTGGGGGTCTGCCAAAATAAAAAAGACCACCAAATCAATTAAGTAGAAGTACAGTGCATACACCAGGTGTCTGACAATTACCTACATTGCCTCCCTGTCCTCTAGTATCATAACATAGTACATTGTAGATGAAGCCCTCTTTTAAGAAACAGAATCCCAATATTGAAAATGTGAAAATGGTATATAACATAAGTCTCTACCTGTATTTCTGTTCGTCCTGGTTTCTTTCCCATAATGATCTTATCCTTTAAAGCAGCTATATGCGTATCTGCGACTCTCATCCTTTCCCGCACCATATCAGTTACACGGAAATATGCCTTTTTGTTGAAGAAATATGATTTTCGATCAGGAGAAATTGCATCTGGGAGGTAAAATCTGGCATAAACCTCAGGGGTGGTTTGCTGGAATCTCAGGTGACAGGAAAATTGGGGTTTCTCAAATGTGGGTTGTTCCCCTAATAAGGGATATGTCAGTAAGCCAAAGTCAACCCCACGCTTTTGTCGGCTGAAAATAGAAAAATAAAGAATTAACATGACAAAATATCATCACCTGGAAATGGTATGAAAAGTGTGACAATTTGTTACATGTGCCATTTACAGACCCAATACTCTAAACATTGGTCACAAATAATGGTGATCGTAACAACATGTCATCAATGGGGACTTAAAATGGGTAAGGGTCCATTGGAGGACTTGGCTATAAAACATGTATTCAATACGTTATGTAAAAGGAACATATACATAGGTTCAAGTTATTTGGCGTTTTTTTTAATTTATTTACTCAATTTATTTGTATCAATATAATACAAAAGTAGCTCCTCAATCGCTTTTCAGCATTATTTGGAGTTCATATGAAATAGAGCTGGTTCAACTTAAATATTGCCTATATACGTGTTAAGTGACACTATACATGGAATATGATTTACAACTTTATATAGATATCAATTAAGTAAGTGTATGAAATGAAAATGATTCGGCTTTTAATATAATTAAATTAGAATAATAAGGGCATCACTCAGGATTTGTAAATGTGAAGCCATGAAGACAAATATTAACTTAACACTCTTTATTTCATTCCACAGCTACAATTTCAAATTTTCCATTCTTCCTTAGCCTGGTTATGGTCTCAGTGTGCAACATTCACTCAATTCAGTGAGCATACAGCACTAGGTAAAATATCATGCAAATTGTCTCTCAATGCTGACCAACAAATCCACCTTGACCACTCTACTATACCTTGCATTAAGTATTCATGAGCAACCCATTTGGCTTAATAGTAATGATAATGTTATTTGTTTTTATTTGTTTGTTCCTTATGAATGGTTTATCGGAAGACTGTTAGATGTTAATAAGGCACTTGCAAAAAAATACTAAACAATACAATTAGACTAACAGAGTATCTTATGCATTTCTGGGTGTTAGGTATAGTAGAGTGTTGACACCTTTCGCGAATGCTACTAAAGCCTGTTGGCTACTGGATTAACCTACTATTTTATGACAAACTCATTTAAATATGAATGGAATAGTCGTAGGTACTATTCTTATTTAAATGAATTCCCCATAAAATAGTTGGTTAATCTGGTAGCTGACAGGCGTAAGTTGCATTTGCGAATACAAGCTTAGATTTGAGACTTACTTTCTAGGCTGGTTTGGGGACTTCCAACCTTTGACCTGACTCAGCTTGCTATCTGAGATCTCAATCTGCAGGGGAAACTCTGGCATCCAAACCTACAATGTTAGATAAACAATGCACGTGACGAATTGTATGCAGAAGGATTTTAGAATCCTTAACTCCTTGAATGACACTATCTCATTTGCATATTCACATTTTTTTCAAAAAACATAAAGTATGGGTCTAGCCCTTCAAAATGATATGTAACTTATTGTGTCTTGCTTCATTTTCTTGCTCCATAGATTCATTTACATTTTAATTTTTTTTTTTCATTTTTCAAAAAAGTAACCAGTCTTCAAGGAGTTAAGCAAACATAAATGATAAAAAGATCTCTAATACTTGATATGGCAACTAAATTATGGTGCTGAAAATTACGAGAAATATTTACGAATGCAAACATCACATCGGTAAAGGATGATTGTATTCATGAATTCCAGCAAATCTACAACAGTATATATCGGAATAACATGGGGTCTCATAAGCCAATGTCAGTTGTTAGGTTTTTTTTACTGTTAGCTTTTTTAACCTTGTATCTTAATTCTACGACTCTGATAACACCTGTGACACAGAATAAAATATCATTAAACATTCATATAAAATCGGTAATATATATTGAACAATGAGATAATACAATGCTGCGAAATAGACGTACAATAAAAAGCAATGATGTGAAACAAGGCAAACAGTGATAAAAATCGCACTTTATTATCAAAAAATCAAAAATGGACATCGAGTAATCTCCCTAGCATGCAAGGATCTTGGCACTCGTCTGTTCTTGCATAAAAATTTAGAGTTGAACACAGTAAAAAGTTTTCTCGAAATTTCAATGACAAGATTTACGTGGTACCCACTTCTTGTCAGTCCAGTACAAGATGACGACAATACAGTGAGACCTATAAAGTGGAACACCTCTAGAAGTGGAACACCTCTAGAAGTAGAACACCTCAAGAAGCAGAACACCTCTAGAAGGGAACACCTCTTGGTAGAACACTTGTCAGAGTCTCAAGACCAACTGACTTAATGTTAAATGAACCTCTTGTAACACATCCCAAATGGAACACTTTTTAGAGGTACCAAAAGTGTTCCACTTAGACAAGTTTTACATCGAAAGTGTGATAAAAACTTAACACTGTAAGCCTCACCTTGAATCGTAAAAAGTGGGTGTGTCCATGATATTTAGCGATTACACTGACGTTACTAGCACCCATTGTCTCTGTTCCATCTAGGAAGATATGACGACACGATTGGTCAACCTGCAAGTACATATAAGGACATTTTAGGTAACATTACCAAAAATCGGAGTTGAAATCTGGAAAAATTGGTGTATTAAGATTTATTTTATATAATCAAATATAGAACATGGAGTATATAGATTGCATCTATTCCTTTTAGAATATTCTTGCAGTGTCGTCAAGAAAATTAGGACAACCTGCGACAAAAGTTAACAGTCATGAGAAAAATACTAAAATTCGCAAGGAATAAACAGACAAAAGTCAAGACTAAAAATGTATAAAATTGCAAGAACAAATACGGTTGAGTCAGATCTTAGAGAGAAAATGTGTAAAACAATCATTATCTTCCACCATCTCCGTGGCAACCTCAAACAACATTAAAATACACACATGGATGATTTATATTTAAGCAGAAAACATATTAATATCATTTTGAACAGGTGGTATATAAGCCCCTATTTAACTGGCACATTTCAGAGGAATTCAATCAAAAAGATAACAATTGATATCATTTTATTGAAATGCACTGTGCATAAGAGACGATTGGTGATTGTCGCTACCCCGCCATTAGTCACGATGCTCAGCATTATGTTCATAACAAACTCCGAGTCTATCCAAGCAATCATTTAGACAATAATCTTACAAGATAAAATTGAGATATTTTTGAAAAGTTTGAAGGCACCAATAATTAAGACCTCTGATTAACATCATTTAATTAGCATTCTAATGAAATATAAAATAAAGTTAAATTATAAAAGTTAAGACCGATGTAGAACATACTGCAGGGAGTGTGTCCATTATATTGCCTGTGATTGATTTCGGTGTTAACAAAACTAGTACACGTCTGTTAAATGAGGCGTTTACTGAAGAGAACGATTTATAAAAAATGTAACTTTTTTAAACCTCTTGAATCCTAGGTTCTAAAATCGGTCGAAACCAGAGAATTTTTCAAGCTTTTGACACTTAACTATACAACAGATGATGCTCATTTTCACACATTTTAAAACAATTTTTGTGTAAATTGGATGAAAATTGTTCAAATAAGGGCAATTTTAGACAGATTATCTCGTCACTCTGGGTTTCAATGTAATTTCTAAGGTGACAAGAAATCTCGTCACTCTGGGTAGTCAAGAGGTTAAAACTCGAACATACCATGCCCTAAATGGCAGAGTAAGGATTAGTACATTAGGTGAAGATAGAGATGAAGCACTCTTTTAAAGATGCAAAATCAAACTATAGAAAGGGAACACACCAGTGATGATAGCTCAATAAAAATGTACATGTTCTTTTCCATTTTGAGACTATAAAAGATTTGCATTCAACAAAATTGAAGTTTAACATGGTACGAATGGCTACAGGCTAAATTTACCAATCTTCCTGTTATTGAACGGAAACCCAGTAAAATATTGAATAGTTGCATCTCAAGTTATTAAATCCATCAGGAAGAGATAATTGAGTCATCTCCTGGTTATAGGCCTAACCTCTAATCCTATAGCATTTTTACAACCCCTGGGACTCCTTTATAAGCATTGAGGCCCCTCTGGTCAATAATAATTCTAATATTCCTTACAAATAAAGCTAAATTCTAAATTGAAGATTTTTTGCAATATTGCAGAAATTGTAGATTTTTAATAAATGTAGTTTAAAGTTTGGAAAATACATAGAGGAATTAAGTATACTGATATCGCTTTTACGGGATTTGGGATTTTATACATTGACAATAGATTGGAAAAATAGTCCAAAAGGGATTCTCGCATTTATTCCTAATTACTTAGAAACTAATGGCATATAAGTGGGTTTGTCTGTGTAATTGTTCTGTTTGCACTTTATACAGTTAATAGTATGCATTGTTTTAATACCAGGGTGCCCTTTATCCAAAGTGTCTCAGTTATTGTGATGATATCCCAAAAGGAGGTCTATTCTGTGTAACGGTATCCTTTATCTGTTTTAGCAACATTGCCAAAAATAAAAATCTGATTTGATATAAGAATTTATGTCATCATTAACAAAAATATGTTGGACACATTCAATCAACTGAATAAAAGTTGGAAATCTTGACAAAATGAACCATACAAGTGGCTTTAACAATTTTAAGAAATTGAATAACAATGGTATTGTCAGTTGAATAGCATCCTTCTTGTTCTTGAAGTACTCCATCTGTTATAAATTTTTAATTTTTGGCATTAGTTGTATTAAAAGTCTTACATTTCCAGATGCAAAATAAATAATAGGTTTCCCTAACATCAACCGATTGTTTGTAACATATTTCCAGGTATAAACCTAAGATAATACAGATGCGTATATTGCCTTGGCTTACTCTATCTATTTATGCCAAGATTGTCAACATTTTATACTTAATTGAATGTATTAAATGAATTATGTATGCTAACCAACCATATACAAAAATGAAACACTATAATATCATACTTCAATGAACATTTCTAGCTCCTTAATGTCAGACTAATATCTATGCATGCTGTAGTGTTCTTTGGCTGGTCAACTTGCTCTAGAACTCAATTAAGCGGATTTATATTCTTAGAGCCATTAAATGTGACAAAATTTATTCTGATGAAGGCATGAAATTCTGTGACTGGAATTGTGATAGGGTGGCTTGATCAACATATTCTAATTGAGCAGGGCTATAAGGAGGCAAGATCAAAGGTTTGTCTCTTATTAAAAGAATCCACACTAGGCTCTCTTAGGAATAAAAAGGAGACAGGGCATTAAAATGCAATATGTCACCACCTGCCATTTGTTACAGATGCCAAACACCACAAAGCAATCTCCAATCACCATCAAAAAAGGTTGGAGACTGTACCAACATGTCCCCACTTGTGGTGGTGATATAATAAAAACCATACTTCATGATTTTTTGATGTCATTTTATCTATTTGTGAATTCATATTAACAATTCCACTCATCCATCTCTCAAAAGATATCTACCTTTGGACAAAAAAGATATCTGTTCAAATTAGGTGAATCTCTGTTAGTAATATAATATGAGGAACATTTAAGTATGCATATTGTACTGTTCTTGTCTCTTCTGTTAAACTGTAATCATAAATCATTGTTTATACACAAGGATCTTTTAATCAAGTAGACCCATATACAATCCCAGGATATCTAGTCTCATCCAATGAAATAGCAAGACGATTTCAAATATCTTGGGAAATATCAACCTCCCGTGTTCTGTAGTATCACTTAACCCAATTCCAAGACCTTGGATGCATAATTTGACACATGATTAGACACATGATTAGACACCTGATGGAATGAATAGTTCATGTGACACTATGTACTAAACATAATTTTTATGTCCTTTTTTCAGCGACTGCCTTCTACATGATCTATCTAACATTCATCAAAGGCTGTAGAGGACACACATAATATATTTGCTTCATATTGTGAAGCAAAGCCAGAACAATAGTTACTATATTAAGTTAATAGATGCAAAGATACTGATCAGTTCTCAATTTTCGAACCATAAATATATCCTTCAAAATTTCAAATCAATCCTCTAAAGATTTGTCTGGAAAGACCCTAAGAGTAGAGATGAGATGACATCATTCAGGTCTTTCTGTGATCGTCTCTGAAAATTCAATGGTTTCAGGCTAACTTGCCAAATATGGTAAATTACTAAATATGGTAGGTCTTTCTGTGATCTTATTATATGTTTTCTGTCACTTCTGAACTGTAATAAATTGTAAGTGAATCAGGCAAGCTGTTATGTTCGAATTGGATTAATGCTTGGTTTTCGTGAATTATTGATCCTGGACTCTTACTTTGCACACTACTATGGCATGCGATATAGGAATTTTACAAGTTTCTGGATTTCAAGAGACATTATAGGGTAAATGTAGCATAATTGCTTCATTTTCATGTCACCAACATAACTGGTGATATATTGGTCTGTGAAGGTCGTTGGTGTTCGACAGTCAGCATCTGTAACAAATACAGGTAGTGATATTTTGCATGTTAATGCCTTATTTGGTATTGCAGTATTTATGGGACACTAATACAGTGACTCGGGAGTCAGGAGAGATCACAGGTTTAGAGGCATATTGCGAGATTGACAAAAAGATATGTTGAGAATAAGAAAGCAGGAATCCTAAGATTGTTAATACAAGAGGTGCAAAAAAATAGTTCTGGGCTTTTATACCAGTATATTGGGGTCAATTTAACTTAAATTGATAGACCTCCTAAATAGAGATGATGGGAGAATCATTTTCCTCCCCTTTCTGCACTTATTTTTCCTGATACACTTTTCCAATCCTTACCTTCAACACATGCTCATCCTGGGAGTGGCACATGGTTGCCGTAGTGATATCTGTGATAATTCCAGTCTGACTGATAGAGTAGACCTTCATTGGGTATGCCACTACCCTCCCTGTCAAAACTGCAGTGTTAAGGAACTCATTTTTCTGAAAAAAAAATATATATATGAGTATTAGGTATATGCAATTCCCCCCCCCCCCCCTCCATAAAAATGCATCAAAGATATCATGTAAAAATAAATTCTATCCAGAGTCAGGTTTATTTACTCAAATTATAATTTCAAAATCAAATTAAACAGGAGTCAATTGTAAGTCATTTTTAAAAGCACATCAAATTTATTGATAACAACTGTGAGATTATTAATTCTTTTTTAATGAATGAAAAGCTGAATAAGCATTCACTCCTGAACCGCTCTCCGTCTGCTTATCTCAAGTAGCCTCACTTTGAAATTTATCTCTAAGAGGAGATGAAACACCCCTAATACATGTCGCTTTGAAGTTATACCACTTTGATAAATAAATCAAAAGAATAAAAATCATATCTTTAAGAATGTTTTTGACAAATGTTTTGTTCGTTTGTTTATTTGATAAGAGAGGGCTTGAAAGATGCTCAAGGTACTTCACTTTCGAAAACTTTCTCCCAAACTATGTCAAGTGATCTGTGTGTTATAAGAATTCTCAGGCCCTTACATCCACACATTTCCAACAAACAAGCTTAATTTCTTCTCAAAACGATTCAATACAGAAATAGCGATATTTCCGTGACAAACTATGTGTCATGTGGCAAAATATGGAAAAATTGCATAATAATTGAATTAAAATACTTTGAGAAGTGGCTTAAAACCCCCCTTGAGTAATTAATTTCACAGTTAATGGCATAATATTAACTGAATAGTACTTTAGAGTAATACAAATTTACCATATATGAGAGTCGACAAATTAGCTTTTGAATCAAAAATAGATGACACTCAATATTACAGAGAATTATTCTCATTTCCAAGTTTGATTTTTAAACCTTAAGCAATCCAAGTAAAGACGACTGAATATGCCACAAACATGAAATAAATATAATTTTACTTAGCACAATAATAAAATAATGTAATCTGCCCAAATAGTTCAAATAATTAGATATATTGATGCAATCAAGCATTGCATTGAAATGACCAATCATTGGTTGTAAGTGCGATTGTAACATTTTCATACCAATGACAAAACTAAATGCCAGTCACCAAAGAATTGAAGCTGAGAAAAATGGAACTACATCATCTGGAATTAAAAACTGCTTTGGACATAAATTCTAGTACTAAGTCCATGAAACAAAACAAAATAGAGAACATGTTATTTAGCCCTTTCAAATGCTTATTCCCTTTCTGGATGGCTGTTGATGACTATAACAGACTTGCTGAAAAAGTTTGATGAACTTTAATTCTTCTACCTAAACTGTTGACAGACGGAGGGACGGACGGACAAGTGAGAGATTCCAGAGACTCACAATGTTAATATTCCTTGTAAACCCCCAAAAAACATTGTAAAGCAAAAAACAAATTTGGTAATATTCACTGATCAGTGGCATCCCCTGTAACCCCTGTACACATGTACTTGTAAATGATATGAAATAACCATGCCCCCCTGAGTGCTGGCAACATGCAAAAGAACCCAATAGGCAACAGGAATGATCTCAAAATCAACTCTTACAAACAGGAAGGCCATGGAGCATACATATATATCTTGTGGCATTGTGGGACATACAGCCTTTACTATCCCCAAGCATTAGATAAAGAGGGGCTCTGATGAATCAGAATGATTTTGTGAAGTTATTCACAGAATACACAATTCAATTTTGTAAGGAAATAGCATGAGATATCAAAATGAGAGATTTATCGGTAAAGGGACATGGGAGAATGTGAGCAAGTTGCACGAAAGATCAATACTCCGATCTGTTAAATGCCACCTTCGTCACGCTTGAATCATGTTTTTTATAAAAATAGGAATGGAGCACATGATAACATAAGAACAGCAAATAATTAAAGAGCTGCTTTAGGTTAATGTCAAGGTTCTCTATAATTTCAAATATCTTCACTCTGTCATGGATATAAAACAAGCCGCCATAATATTTTCGTCCGAATATAATATCAGCAATTATTATTACAGACAGAAGCAAATCTCAATGAGGTCATCCCTTGTTAAAATTCCTCACAATATTGCCTTTTTCTGAACAAATAATCAGTACAATTCCCCAAAATATATCTCACATATGTATTTATGATATAGATTCCAGTTGATCAAAACACTCCATGTAGATTCTACTCACATTTTGTATTTAAACATTAGATTTCACGTAGGAGTTGAATATTAAGCATCCTTCTGGTAATACATGGCTATAATAGAATTACATGAATAACTGGTCCCTTTGAGGGAAATAATTCTGTTAAACTCTCATTTTGGCAGTTAGATATGCATAATTCCACACTTGGTCAATAATTCCAGTGCTAAGCTAATTACCCTGTTCTAGCCACCCAGTTAGACATCCTTCCCTCTGACTATAAAGGATGATTTCAGTTTAGAGAGTGATAATATCTCAATAATCTCAAATGTAACTTTCATATCCTTGCAAGAAAGTTTGAATGTGATATGAATATGTGTATCAGGTAGATGTTGTAATATCCTCATTTTGTAACTATATATTCTGATATGAGATTAGATCTCAGAATAACCTCTAATTTGAAGAGTTTATATCTCAAATTTGAAGAGAGCAGACCTCTTATTTGAAGAGTGGAGATATAGTCAAGCTTTTGCCAAAGGGTAATACAGTTAGTTAACACAGAGAAATCTTCTATTTTAAAATCTATTTTCCAACGCTTTAGTTATGTTAGGGAAAAACCTCTTTCAACATTTACAGTAGTAGAATCATATAATTGAAAGTGTCAGAAAAAATCATAGGTCTTTTTTTAATACTGATTGCTAATAACAGCAAAAACCATATTTGGCATAAATGAGTAAAGTATGGGACATTAAACGTCTTAACTGCTCAAAACATAATCAGCTCAAGAATTAAGTAGAAATGGTAAGTGACAAAGCATTATCGAGTAGTCATTAACCTTTTGACCAACAATTACTTTTGGGTGAGTCATGATAGCAAGGGATCAAATGGGATTAGATTAAACAGTAAGACAACGGCTAGATTTCCGAACACAATCCATATTTCCTTTTTACTGAACTATTCATGTATTAGTTAAGCTGCGAAAATGTTACAACTCAGAATATCATCATTGATATTCGCATTTTGTGCATTAAACTACAAAAAGCAATATCAGAGACGTCGGGATTTAAAATAAATCAGAATGTCTATGCTATTATACCTTGAGTAATGATAATTCCTCGTGCAAAAATGGTGATGATGTCATACTTAACAGACATCAAATTTGATATCTGACATCAAATTTTGCTACACCCATTCTTTTTTATTTTCCTAACAGGCCTGCCATTGAAATAAGGGGGGGGCAGAGCACTTAATTAAAACAAGTCACATGGTAAAAAATAGTGTACCTAAAAATAAAAATGGCCTCCTTAAAACAGATCACTTCTTGATTTCCATATCAAGAAACATCCATCATAATCTGAAAGTGTTCAGAAAAGACACACTCACTGCCAACAACCTCCCCCTCCCTGGCGTGGCAACAATATCCTCTTTAGGTACAACAAAAATTGAAATTTTAGTTACCTTAACAACAGGGAGTATCGTATAAGTATCGTCATGTTGAATGAGGATCTTGGCGACCAATCGGGTAGCTGCAGTGCCGTAATGTTCTTTCATATTCTGACTCATCTCGTACTCGATGGTGAAAGTAATCCTCCCGTGCTCGTTACTTGTGACATCATCATCAACCTCAAATGTCCACTCAAACACGTCCTGGATCCTGAAAATATAAAACAAGAAATAGATATTAAGGTTCAAGTTGTTGAAAGTTAGACTTATTGTTTTTGTCATGATTTTAATATTTTGATAACATCTTCGTTGATAAAGTATCTGCTATTTAGAGATCTTCAAACATATTTAAAGCTAAGTATATTTTGGAAGCTGAACATTCTGAAAAGTGAATATTTTGGAAGATGAATTTTGACGGACCTAAATGACTTTTAAAATAAAGTTATTATTCATATTCATAAACATTACAGAACATACAATATCTTACAAAATATCTCGACAAGGCACTAGGTGCATAATACATAAAAAAACACAAGATAATTAATTATAAATGAATACATCGCAGTAAATCATAAAATCCCTTTGAAGTGGTTCACCATTTTCCATAGCACACCATTCACCATTATATCAAAGACCCAGATCTATCCATAGGATTAATTCATAACAAATGAGTTGGCCCTGACCTGGTGTGTTTTTATTACACTAATGCACTTCTATAATGATAATACCGCAAAGCAATCACCTTTTAAACATCAAAAGAAAACATAATATAAAAATCGATCCTTTCGCAGTTCACCCGGTCAATAGCTTTTTCATAATGTCGATGAATATAGAAATTGAATACAGAGTTATGTTTATAAGAATAACAGACTAAAGGGCTAAAATACCATAACTTATACCGCTCCTTCAGGAGACAATTAGTTGCTTTGTTGCCATGGAGATAGTGGTTAGTTACAGTAGTGTGCCTCATTGAGACACAAAGCAAACAGTACATTTTCGATAGAGAACTTATTGAACATAATTTCTTAAGATTACATTTCGTTTATTGATATTTTTCCATAAAATCATTTTAAACATAATTGGAAAAACGAGCCTAAGAAATAAAATTGAGTTATGTACTCACTATCCTCAATGAAACTCAACAGGCTTCAGAAATTATCCTCAATTCATATATTACTACAGATTTAAATAAATAAAAATAAATAAATTAGATAAAAAGATGTAAGATATATCTAACAAACCCTTGTGACCCCTAGAGGTGTAACGGTCCAAACAAAAACAAAAATAAAAAAGTTTTGGAATGGTACAAATGGTCTCAGGATATGGTATGTTGGTGCTTATGGTACAATATTGGGAAACCATGATATTAGACTGATACCCCCCCCCCCCTTCTCCCAGGCTATGTTGAAGAACACAGGCTCCAATTTCTCATTATGTCATACAGTAAGCCAGACAACCAGGGGACTAATAAATCAAGTTCACATCCCAAAAGGTCAGTGCAAAGGTCACCCTAATTTGTGTCTAATTAACAACACTTTTCCAATTAAGATTTTCTAACAGGAAGATCAATTTCCTTATCACCTACACTTCCTTACACATTTTTTCACATTGTGGGATAATGTTATCCAAAGAGTCTCATTGGTTGATTGGTTGGTTTTAGTGATGCAATGGTTCAGTAGCAACAGGGGTTTCATTAGCAGCAGGCAACAGGCAATTTTCACAGGTTGTTTCCACAAAATCGCCTGTTGTTTTAAGGGACTTCCAACTTTTCGGTGTTAAATTTATGATTTCCATCAATTTAGCCTGTTGTTAGAAATTCTAATGAAACCCCTGAGCAACATCAACTATATCAAATCATCTCCAAAAAGGAGAATCTCCTCAGTTTGACAATAATGATACCCCTCTACCCTGCCATTAACCTAATCTCCCAGAATTCACTCCCAGAACTTACCCAGAACCCCTTAGCCAAAAAATCTTTCAAAATCATTCAGTTTTTCACCATTCTGAGCACTTTTTAAGGGATTTTGGCAATTTTTGGAGCGAAATTGTCACAAGTGGACCCCATTGGAATTTTTGAAAAAGTGAACCCCCCTTTGGCAAATCCTGGCTACAGGCCTGAACATACTTTCCCCTCCTATCTTACCAGATTATGTTATCTCAGAACAGCTTTGAATCTAAACATTGCTTCACATACTATTGTTGATCTGTGGGAAATATACCACTCTTCTGCCATAAACCTAGTCTCTCCATACTCTTATAACTACCTTTTTATACCTCCTCCCCCTTCCTCCAATCTCACCAGATTATGTTATCTTAGAACAACTAAAATTTGTTAGGTTCTCATTTTGAATCTAAACATTGTTTTACAAACTTATCTGTGTAAAATAATCTGATTATACACTCTATTACATCACTGGTGGATTCAGAAGCATATTTTGAGTTGGGCAAAATATAAAAAGGCCAAGTTATGCCTAAAAAGGCTCATTTTTTGAGGCCCTACAAAATTTTTGGGGCCTAACAATGCCCCCCCCCCTGGATCTACATGTGCTAATATATTAATTGTCCTAGGGGCTTTTGTTAATCATTGCAAAATGAAGCCTAAACATTGTCATTCCATCTCAAAAACTGTATTATTTTCGTTATTCTCTTCACAATAAAATACAAGCTTGCCTCATGTTGGATGGTTTGTTTGGTGATTGGTCTGTTATATCAGAACACAAGGGGAAATGATGGCTATTAGAGAACAACAGGATTGGTGCATAACATCACATGAAGGAAATGAGGATGATATCATCTCATATAATAGCAAATATGATGTCATCTTTGCAGTGTAGAAACCAGAGATAGTTCTGGGTATCCATCATGATAACCCATTATATTTCAATTATCTCAGCCATGGTATTTCCCATAGACCCCATAGATGTGAGTATGGTTGGGATCACAAGGAACCCATTTTGCAGACCCATTTTACAAAAAAGGGAAACTGTAAAATGCATAAATCTTGAAGAATAACTCAGAGAAATGTATATTCAAATATGAATATTATTTGGAATAATATTCTTCTGTATGCATATCCCTCCTATCTAACCAACAGAAAAAATATTCCGAAAGTCATGTTTTGATAAAGAGTGGAATCAGCAAGGAATAAAGCAAAGGAATAAAACGTGAACAGAATTCCATAGTTAAATTAGAAATACCAATAATTCTCTAGGAGTACTGAATCAACATTAGTGTGGTTTTCTAAAGAATTGAACAGATGAAAGAAGACACTGATATGGAAAGAAACATTCCAGCTTATTTTACTAGTTTCCAGTTTAATACTGCGGTTTATAACTTTACTCTTGAGTAGTTTGAAAAATGAGTGGTTGAGATAATTCCATCTAAGAGATCCATTTTCAAATTTCAATGACAGAAGACATCGTTCATGAACATTACAATTCAAGGTGTGGAATACATCATTTCCAAACACTATCTTTATTGCATTTTTTCTGAAGTATCAGGTTGGTGAACTGGAGTTATGACCATGGAGGTCAGAATATGAAAAATGAATGTTATAGTACAATTGTCTCACCCTCATCAATCTCATTATGTGGACTTTACTCTATGAAGACATTTCTCATTTTTCCAACAACAGTAGATTATAACAAGCAAGTAACAGTCGATATTCATCAGTTGTGCATGGCTTCCAAATACCATCACAAAACATTGTTGTATTCCACACCTTGATTTATAGTGTTCATGACTGATGTCTTCTGTCATTGAAATTTGAAAATGGATCTAATAAATGGAATTATTTTAACCACTCATTTTTCAAACTACTCAAGAGTAAAGTTATAAACAATGATTTCTGATTTTTGAGGTTTCAGTATTCTCAAAGAAATAAATTTTGGCAAAAATACAAATTTTGGCAACAAATAGTTTTCAATATGTAGTCCTCAAGACCCCATTTGCCTCTCCTGTTAACAGAACCCAGTCTAAATCAAACTACTGAAAATGGCATATGTGCCCCACTGGGCCTATAAGGATTACATCACTGTGCCATCTATTATCCTCAACTGATATCTTGATACCCCTGATCTGTTACCAGCACATTATAAACCATTACATTTCATTTCTCCTCAGCCCTGGTAATACAGAAAGATGTTATGAGTATCAGAATGGGTAAACAGTCACATGGGGTTGTTTACATCATGAATGTGATCATAAGTGCCTTGTTTATAATCAACAATTTCATATTATATTATATTTCAAATCATGCTTATTGCACTTCATTTCTCTCTAAACTTTAAATGAACATCCTAATTTTCTCACATTCTTGTACCATTAAATATGCAAACCACAACTCCATTTACTTTATTTCCTCACGAATCCACTCTTTTCACTATATTTCATTTTCAAAACAAGACATCACCCATTGATATCAGGTTATATTCTAGTGGGGATTGCAGATGATTATACAAGTTACATAATCCAATATGGATTAATCAAACTAACATGAAAGTTATCTTATTATTCCAAAATAAATATGAACCCTGCTGATGAGGGAAACATGGCTAGAATCAATGGAATAACATACAATGTACTTTACTTTGTTGATATCAATAAAACATTGTCTAGCAATTAAATAACAACAATGTATGCACTGTTTCATAGGTGTTTGTAGTCTAAAGCAGTTTATATATGTTTGTAAATGAGGGGTATCAATATGAGATCAGAAATTTGGATAAGACACTGTTTCTTTTCACATTGGATTGTGATTTTGGATAGTTGGGGTTTGTTTTCCTTATGACTGGTGACCTTTAGATGTTTTTCCTGTTGTGTTCTGGAACAATTTTTGGTACTTTCCCAATGCCATGTGTACATACATATAAAACAATATAATCTGGGGCTCATAGCATTTAGCAAGAGTGTCTCCCAAAGTAATTTACAGCAACACAGTTTTTAAGTTGAAATGTCAGGCCATGTTAACTTTGTTTCAGTACTTCAAATTAGATATATTGGTACACAGGGAAATTCGAATGAAGATTTGGTATTCATATCAGATCTAAGGTCTAGGTGCCTCATCTTTAGTCTTGAATCAAATCTCTGGATACAAGAGAGATCATTCATCATACAACCGTCTCAATGAGAGAACATTATTCAATATCAGAGAAAGGAAATCTCTGGACTATCTCAGGAAATTATGAGATATCATAGCATCATAGATTTCCT